AAAATGGGATTAACTACTTTTCTATTTTACAAGAAACAACATTATTATTATTTATTGTTTATTTTTCAAGTGTGATAGAGATATAAATCTTTATTGGGAACATTCAGCCACATAGATGATACAAAGAAGTATTAAAGCATAAATGATTAATTTAAGATTTAAGATTAATCTTTCTCTTTCTTACCTGTCCCATTGATTAACAGCCACTCTCCATAATAACTAGCACTTACCTGAGTTGTGACTAATGTCCACCCACTAAATGGGATACAAAATGGTCCATAAATCACAGGAACCTCATAGATTCTGTTTTTATACAGAGGACACCTAGACAGTGCATTGCATTGTAAGATAGCCAACTCTTCAAATTTAATTGTATTTATTTTTATCTCATCTTTATTACTTTTTAATAAAGTACTCAAGGCAGCAAACATACATAATACTCCTTCCTTCTCCTAATTTTCCCATATCAACTGCCCTGTGAGTTGGGCTGAATTACCCATCTGGCTTCCATGCCTAAGGTGGGACTCGAACCCACAGTCTCCTGGTTTCTAGGTCAGTACCTTAACCATTACACCAAACTGGTTCAACCACACAATGTATATAATGCAATGTTTAGGTGGATCATTCGTTACCACTCCTCAAACAAAGATTTTGATCACAGAATTTTCAGCACTGAGATCAGCAACTCAGTTTGGAGTTATTTATCAAATGGTTACTATTTAAAGATTATTAAACAACATTTTTAAAAGCCTTTTTTTTTTAAAAAAAAAGTCATTTTAAGGTTCTTTAAGCATCTATATTGGGACATACTTTTAAAATTTATCAACTAGTTACAGGAAAGAATTTAAGTGGATAGGTTTGCTGTGTTAATAAATTATTTCGGCTTACAGGTAGATCGTGAGTTCAAATAATGTAATATTCAATTTAGCTCATATTGTAAATTGATATCAGGTCATGTTTAATGTAGACAAAAATTCAGTTAATGCTAGGTACTGTTAAGAGTTTTGCTTGTTCAGTTGCAGTTGTGGTTTACGCCCTGTTAATATTTATGAGTTCAAAATGGAGAAAATAGAATTCTTATTGGCCAAGTGTGATTGGACACACAAGGAATTTGTCTTTGGTGCATATGCTCTCTGTGTACATAAAAGAAAAAAATATATTCATCAAGAATCATAAGGTACAGCACTTAGGTTACTAATAAGCAATCAAATCATACTAGGAAACAAAACAATATAAATCGTAAAGATACAATCAACAAGGTTATAGTCATAAGTGGGAGGAGAAAGGTACTAGGAAGGATGAGAAGAATAATAGTAATATAGTCTTAGTAAATAATTTTTACATCTAAAACATTATGTTTTAAAAATTTTATTGACTTTTTCCAGAAAATTCAAACCAATAACCATTTTTTCTCAGAAATATAACTATCAATAATGCAAATTCATGGTAGATAACCTAAAATGCCTACAATGAAAAAGACAAAATCCATGTTATATCTTTTCAAACATAGTTGAATATTAATTGGTGCAAATGCTAAATTCTTTAGATAAACAAGGATGTGCCACAAAATTAAAGTGTTTGAATATTTGCATATCATAAATAATGTTGTAGAACCAGACAGTATACAGAAGAAAAACATAAAGAGAAAAACATACTTTTTCCTGTGCCTATTTTGTAATTTTTTTCCCTACACGAGTTTTAAAACTGTGTTCCTACTTTTCAGAAAAGTTGATTAAAGGTTTTGGATTTTTAAAACAAAAAACAAAAACTAACTAGTTCTGCAACTGGAAAATTTTGAAAATGCCTGGCCTAGACTACCATACTGTAACTTCACATTTGCATTACCTTCCTTCATTGTTAATCTTTCAAATTTGCATTATCTATCTTCAGTTTTAATCTTTCAATGATATTCTTTCTCTGTTCATCTTCTGGAAAGGAACTGTATGTGTTATTGGTCTTAATTGTGTTACAATATCAATATTTTATTTCTGAAATTATTGTTTTAACTTTAGTTTTAATTTATCAGATGATCGTAAACTTTTCCTATAGTTCAGAATTGTGTAAACCTTTAAAATCATCTAATTTATGTAAGCCAATACTGATGATAATAAAACCAATTTTTACACTGCTTTAATTCAATTGCCTTATTACCCTTACTCTTATTAACTCTTCTTGTTTAGTAAAATCAAGTTTCAAAAAATGAAAAAAATATCATAGTTGGTGGCATTGAGGCACTGAGTCATTCTTTCTTTCTAAAGTCAATTTGTAATCTGTTTCATTGAATAGACCAGGAAAAACAGCAGCAAATTAAGGCTAATGTGACCAATGTACAGGGAGTACTAATGGAAGAGAGTGTAGGTGGTCCTTTCTTATTAACGAGTTTCAACAGTGTTGAAAAATGAGACAACTGGTCCTCAAAGTTACAGTCATTGCAGCGTCCCTGTAAGCATATGATTGAGATACTTGGCATTTGGTTTGCATATACAACAGTTGCAACTTTCCACAGTCATATGATCATCATTTACAATGTTCACAGCTTCCAACAAGCAAAGTCAGTAGGGAAATCAACAGGAAATCATAAGTCACAGTCGCTGGATGTCACACTTAACCTGTGTTGACTTGTTTAATGACCTAATTGAAACTGATGTCGAGATGACCATGCCGCTTAGAGATGTAATTGCAGGTCGCTACAGTGATCAGTAAATCAGGCAGCACTACCTGTAATGTACATGGAACAAAATAGTTCAAGGATGTCAAACTGGCAGCCCGCGGGCCGGATGCGTCACGTGCAGGCCACGCCCACCCCAGCTCCATGAAGGCAAAAAACATTGCAATACATCACGTGAGGACAATGTGACGGTGTGAGTTTGACAACAGTGAAATAGTTGAAAGACTAGTATTTAACTACTGATTTCTGACTGTGTTTGTATATGGTATTCCTTGTCATGTCAATGATTATCAAAAATGCCATAATAATCTATCAGTTTTAATCAGGAACTATTCCTCTGGGATAGGGAAAAGGTGAAAACCTTCAAATTCAAGTGACATTTGTTAGTCTTCCCCCACACATACATTTTGGGAAATGTATTTAACATTTTTCCTTGTCGCTTTTAAGTATTTAGAAGTATAAATGCTGCTTTAATAAACCAGTTCAATTTAAATTTTAAAAAAGCCTAAAGTTGTAATATTTTATGTTTATCAAATTGGCCAGCAAATCATCATGCTGCTACTAAGTGGAAAAATTATATTTCTCCTTTGCAGTAATAGGGAATGGGATATTTGCAGATCAGAGAATCATGACTGACTGAACAACATTTGTTCAACTTTTCATCCAAGTAATATTTGCTTGAGATACAAATAATTTAAAATAATCCCTTATTTGAAAGAAAAGCTGGATACTTGGAAAAGCTGGATACTTTGACAATAATAAAGGTGTGATATAAATTAAAAAAAAAATTGAATTATTTAGAGCTAATAAATACATATTTATTAAAGTTTATTAATGTTTTCTTCTGACACTGTACCCTATTACTTTAAAAGTTTTGTTTTGTTTTGGGGAATTTGCCCAAAATATCGCCAAGAACTAAGGACTTACAGTACTATATTCTGAAATAACTTCCCAGTCTAAATCTAAATCTAAATGTACAGTTTATGTTTTAGGAGTTCATTAATTTGTATCAAATGCATAAGTATTTTATTATTTGTTGTAACATTAAGAATGGCTACTGGTAGTTCTCAATTTACAACCATTCATTTAGTGACCATTCAAAGTTACAACAGCACTGAAAAAAGTGATATGACCATTTTCTACACTTACAGCTGTTGCAACTTCTCCATGAACACATGACCAAATTCGGAAGCTTGGCAACTGGCATGTATTTATGACGGTTGCAGTGTTCTAGGGTCAATATGATCTCTTTTTGACTTGCTGACAAGCAAAGTCAATGGTGAAGCGGAATTCACTTAACAACTGTGTAACTAACTTAACAGCCATAATGATTCACTTAACAACTGTGTCAAGAAAGGTTGTAAAATGGAGCAAAAGTCACTTAACAACTATGTTGCTTAGCAACAAAAAATTGGTCATAAGTCAAGGACTACCTGTACTAACCTAGGTTAATAACAGCATTAAGGCAAGCAAGGTATATTCTGGAACTCAGTATAAAGACCATCCAAATTGGAAGACCTTCCAGCATTGCTGAATCTTTAATATTTGGGCTGGAATTTAACAGCCCAGATTCAGTAGTTGTAAAGTACTTAATGTCATTTTAGGGGGGGAAACAGGAGGCAGAATTAGAAAGAGAAAGGAAAGATCATTCTTAAAGGAGCAGCCTGAAGATTGCTTAATGTTACAGGATTGGCTCATACTCTATTGCATTTCTCACTCGAAGTTTGGTTTGTATATAGTAACTAAAATGTATTTTAGCTTCCTGTCTCTTTCTTACTTGACAAATTGGTAACAAAGCAATCTCTAAATTTTAACATATTGTGAAATGTTATGGACATATTATTGGACTTTTTGTAATGAAGACTGTGCTTTAACTTATTGCTAGTTGTTGTTCAGTGCTGCTATTGAAGGAAATTTTATTTACTTAAGAACAATATCATCTTGTAATTAAACATGAAATTGAATCAGTTGTTTGCAAGTTTATAAATAAGTTACTTAAAATCAACTGCATGGATGGCTGAATAATAGCATCAGGTAAGAATGACTGTCTGATGCCCAGATTGGACAGACAAGCTTTGTACCTGGACTTTTGTCTGAGTTTGTATAGAAGATTTGATGTTCTTAGGTTTTAGTTGCTGAGGCATGCGTTTTTTTTAAAAAAAAAATCTGTTCCATTTTGCTTTTCTGGTATGCTGATGTTTAGAGATTAAATGAGACAGAAAAAACCTATTACCCAGGATGCTTTGTTAGTAGGAGAGGGTAAACCTGATTGCTGTCAGCGCTGGGTTTCAATATGGGTACATAAAAGCATTTAGCTTGTGATGGCTGTACTAAAAATAGCTTTTGAGCAGAGTTTGCAGTCGGGTCTAATTTCGGGGTTTAGCTGAGTTGGCCATAAAGATCTTCCTTTGCTGCTGTCGCAAGAGAGTGAGAGTGAATTTTGCTGTTTGTATCTTGGACACTGGTTTTATATTAAAGTGTACTTTATTCATGGATAAAAGGATCTGATACCATGGCTGAATATTCAGGTATGTCTCTTGGAAAATTGAATGTGTTTATGATTTTCAAGTTGAAAATCTGTTATCTAAAAATTAAATGGAATTTTGAAGTTTAAAAATTTGAAATGTTACCACCCCCATAACATGAGATACTTGATTTTAGGAATCTTTAAATACAGCGATTGAACATAGATTGTTTTAATAGCAAAGGTACAATATTATAAAACTGTAGCAGAAGCAATGTCATACAATTAAAGCAATTAAAATATATTTCTTGACATGATGTTAATGCATAATTGTATTGCTTTAGACAAGTGGTGGATGAAAGCAAAGGCATACCAAGTTTGGACATTGACCTACTTTCTGATTCCTGGCAGTATCAGTGTGAAAGATAGTAATTTTGTTTTAGCTCTGAGAAATTAGTTTAAATCGTAAATAGTTTTTAATGAGTACTTCTGGCTTGGTTAAATGTCATTTGATAAATTTAAAGGCAGGGTAAAAAAAATTGAGATTTTCGTGTGATTTCGAAGAGAAGACCAAAAGAGAAACTGGTCTTCTAGTAAATGAAGGCTTGAGTAATTTGCACGACCATCACAGTAATGGTTTCATTATTCTAAAAATAAATATGAAATTGTGATATCTTTAGAAATACTTTTCTAAAGTATTTTCTAAAGAAATAGTTCAGTTCAGAGACTATTATGTGAAAATATTTTCATTTATATGAATCTAATCATATTTTACTTAGATATTTATATTTAAGATACACCAGTTCTCTCTCTCTCTCTCTCTCTTCCTCTCTAATTTTTTTTCTCTCTCTCCCCTTCAGTGTGTTCTATTGACAGTTATAATATTGAATACTTTATGTTACTGTGAATAATAAAGGCAGGGGACATTATGAAACTGCAGTATTCCAATATATTTTAAATTGATTGAAAGCATAAGAAATATAAATATATGTTTAGAAATACTATATGCTGGATTATATGTATCTGACCTAAAAAAAAGAAACCCGAGGCACCAACCAGACTAGGAGTAAGCATAGTTTTAACATTTAAATTAGTTGGTACAAGTCTTGTGTCATTAATGGTGTTTTCTAGAAAGAACAAACATAAATAGTATTTTTCAGCAGTAGGTGAGACAATGAAAGTAAAAAGAAAATAGAAAAGAAAATAAGTTGAGGAAAGAATTTATATTTATTTGTTATTTATTTTTGTTGTTTATATTGCCAATAACGTTACTTTCAATGAAGAAAAATTGCTTCCAAAATAAATTTAAAATCGCTTTCAAAATATTATACAAGTCTCTTAAAAACTACAATAATTCACATATAAATAGCTGAGGCAGGGAATAAAAGTCACTCATCTTTCCAAAAGGATGAGCTCAGGTACCATCTAGTCCCAATATATGGGAGAAAACTCAAGTCTTCACAGCTCTACAAAAGGATATCTGAACTACAAAAAGGGGAAATTCATTCTGAACATCAAGCATTGTAACAAAAAACGCATGTCTCAAATGATACCATTAAATGATTCTTAAAGAGGAGAACCTTATGTAACTAGTCGGATGGGCAGAAATAACCAGAGATAGATAATTCTGTAAATAACCTGGCCTGGTGCCTTGGTTGGCCAATAGCAGAGATATTCAACTGAGTATCATCAGTGTACTAATAGTAGTTAGCTGACTTCCCACAGTGGATTCATGTGAATATTAAAATGAGAGAAGGGGAGAGAGAGACAGGAGCCCTGAGACTTTACAAAGCAGGTTAGAACTATATTTCTTCCTTATCAATATCGATTGCAGTTGGCCCTGGAAAAAGAAGAATGACTAGAACACCATGCTTCCAATCCCCTTAAGCTACTCAAAAATAATACAGTGATTGATGGTACGAAAGACTGCTGAGAAATCAAAAAGAGCCAGAAGGAATGTACTCTTCCTATCTTGAGCCTGCCATGTCATCACAAAGTGCAACCAATGCTATCTCAGCCTTATATCCTGGTCAGAAGCCAGACCTAAAGAGAGAGAGAAAATCTATTTCCTTCACGGTCCTTTGAGATCACAGCCTAATCACTTTGAAAAGAGAAGATTGCAAACTAAATGAAAATTATCCAACTCTGTTGGAGTGATGGTTTCTTGAGAACGGGTAGACCCCATCACCTTCATACCTAGTAAAATCATCCCTCTTCTCAAGGATGTATTCTGTACTTGTATCTGATCACATGTCAACTCCTAGGAGGTCTTGACCAACAAGGAAGGACATGGATTTAAAATACAGGTGGCTGGGCTTACAGTCCCAAGGATCTTCTCTATGAGGGATCCTTGGTACTCTCTGAACTTGTTTTCTTGCAGACATTTCATTATCCTAACTAAGAACATCATCAGTGAGTACTGATGATGTTACCGAGTTAGGGTAATGAAATGTCTGCAAGTAAATAAGCAAGCACAGAGAGCACCAAGGATCCCTCATTTCAATCCTGAGCTACAAATATTCTCCTTTATTGGGACCTTCTCTACTTTCATAGGAATTAATTGCAGCAACTTAGGACCCAGAGCTTAGCAACTGGGTCCTGAGTTCACATGATCAGGCAAAGAGGTCGAGTCAGGGAACTGGAGAATAAGATTACCAGTAAGCACTGCTCCTGAGGAGTACTGCATCTCTTTCTCACTATACATTCTCTATTCACACCGAGTCATTTCTCCTCCATATTAAACAACTTGATCAAATCCTCTCCTTGACTGATGATTCAGATATTGGGGACACTTCTGCCTTGTATTCAGTGTCCCAGATCAATAGCCACCAATACTCATAATCCTATATCTACATAATCCCTTGATTAACCCTGCTCTCTCCATACCAATCAAGGTAAGAAATCACAATTAGTGATAGGTAAGCTAGAAAATTTCATGCCTTCTATTTTTTACCCACCCCACACATTATTATCATAATATTCTAGAAAGAGTGCAGAGAAGAGCAACAAAGATGATTAGGGGACTGGAGGCTAAAACATATGAAGAAAGGTTGCAGGAACTGGGTATGTCTACTTTAATGAAAAGAAGGACTAGGGGAGACATGATAGCAGTGTTCCAATATCTCAGGGGTTGCCCCAAAGAAGAGGGAGGCAAACTATTCTTCAAAGATGGTAGAACAAGAAGCAATAGGTGGAAACTAATCAAGGAGAGAAGCAACTTAGAACTATGGAGAAATTTCCTGACAGAACAATTGATAAGTGGACAACTTTCCTGCAGAAGTTGTGAATACTCCAACACTGGAAATTTTAAAGAAGATGTTGGATAACCATTTGTCTGAAGGTTTCCTGCCTGGGCAGGGGTTGGACTAGAAGACCTCCAAGGTCCCTTCCAACTCTGTTATTCTATTTCTATAATATCTACTAATCAGTGTGACAGACTACAAAGTTATTAGGCAAACAGTGCAACAAATGATTATATAGCAAAATGAGGACCGTATGCCTAAAATTCTCATACACAATGAGGACTGTATGGCCTGGATTTCTAATCTGGAGAGTACTTTCCAAGTCAACAACATAAATCTACCAAATAGGAAATATATGCTGTGTATTAAATTTAGCTTTGAAACAAATTAATTTATACTTCTTTAATCTGTAAACAAACTTTAGAAATAGTGTCATGTATTTAATAGTAACATTATATTTTATGTTATGAATTTTATTTAGTAATTCATTTCCAAAAGTTTTTAACTTTTGATAATACTTCATTTTTATCTCTTACAGAAGCAAAACATGGTGGAAACAAGAGTGCCAAGAAAGAAGGAGTTTCTGGGACCTCTTTTTTTACATGGTTCATGGTAATTGCACTTCTGGGAGTATGGACATCAGTTGCAGTTGTTTGGTTTGAACTTGTTGATTACGAAGAAGTACTAGGTAAGAATTTAGTCGTAGTAATGATAAGATTCAATTTCCTATATAGTTTGCTATCCCAATATTTTATTCATTTATGTAAAACATTTTTATGGTTTCTCATGTTATATAAAATAACCCATAACAGCCAACAGGCATAAATACAACAAAATTAGAAAGTCTTACATACCAGCAGTAGCACTCCATCACAAGAACACAACCTGACCTATCATTGAAGGAGGCCATGAGGGTAGAGGTTCTCTATATCTCAGCATGGAGTCTTTTCCATAGATTAGGTGCCACTATGGAAAAGGCTTGCTTCCTAGGTCCCATAAAATGGCAAAATTTAATACACCTGGAGCACACCCACCTATCCAGTCTGGGAGGATGTCCTCAGGAAGAGGTATTTGCTCAAATAAACTGACCCTGTGCTATTCAAGGCTTTAAAGCTAATGAACAGCTACTTAAATTACATCTAGAAAGAAAAAGGAGCCCAGGCAACTTATACAGTAGTGGTGCAATATTGGCAATCTCTGGGCAGCCCAGAACTACTGCTGCATTTTGGACCAATTGAGGTTTCTGGATGGTCTTCAAGAATAGCTCCCTGTAGAGCGCATTACAGTAGTCCAAACAGGACATGAGTCAGGCACAAGTGACTGTGATCTGAGACTTCTGGTCTAGGAATGAGCACAATGTTTGTTTGTTTGTTTGTTTGTTTGTTTGTTTCCAAGTTTTATTATTTTTACAGATAACTCAAGGTGGTGAACATATCTTACACACTTTTGTCTTCTATTTTCTCCACAACAATAACCCTGTGAAATGAGCAGGCTGCGAAAGAGTAACTGTTCCAAAGATACCCAAACAGCTTTCATGGCTTAGATAAGACTAGAACTCACTGCGTCCAGCTTTCTGCCACTAAACTGGCTCTAAATATGCACATTAAATACAATATGCACACAAAATAAATTTGTGCAAACCCCTTTGAACCATGGCTGACAGCTGTTCTTCACGCAGGAGCCATGAATCCAAGAGGACCTCCAAATTCTGTCCAGGGAATTGCTGTTCCATCGAGAATTAAATATAGCAACTGTATAGATCCAGGGGACACAGAAACACAAAGCCACTTTTCTTTCTAGAATTCAGTTATAGCTAGTTCCTTCCCATTCAAGCCTTCCAAGCACTGAGTCTTTCAGAGATGAACGATTAAGTAACATCAATGTGCTGATCATACTTTACTCCATTCTGCCAAATCTCACCATAGTTTCATGCAATGTTAAATTGGAGGGGTGAGAGAACAGCCCTGTCTCCCATGTAAGAGGGACCTAGAGCTTGATCTTTTTCTTCCTACCAATACTGACTGGAACTGGTTATGGAGGAAGGAAGATAACCATCACAAAATAATTTCTAATCCTCTAAACCAGTCCAGAAAAATATGAATGCTTTCCATTCTGTGAACTACTTTCCCTACAAATAGAAGATAAGGCTCTATATAAGTTATCCAACATTGCTGGGTCCAATAATAGCTTCTTCAGGGAGGAGCAAATCATTGCATTCTTCAAGCTAGATGGAACAATATTCTTTCTCAAAGTGGCATTAACTACTGTTTGGACCAGTCACATGTCACTTCCTAACAAGACTTTAGACAGCCAGGAAAGGCAGAATCTAGAACATAGGTGGCAGAGCTGACAGCAGTAAATATTCTGAACACTTACTTAGGATCACATGTCTAAAATTGCCTGGATTAACTAAGCAAAGGTGGACCTCAATCATTTCTGTAGGATTTGCTCAGCTGGATTCCAACTTAGTGCAAATCTAAGCGACTTTATTCAACTGATGCCTATTCACATTGGCCCTGCAGGTGTTTGTCCAATTCCTCCTATTAATATTAAAATCTGGATCAAAACTTTAGCAATAGTAAATTCTAATTCATTTTTTGTTACTCGTTTTTGTTACTCATTTTTTAGTAAAAACAATCAAAGCAAGAAAGCCAGTTTGGAGACGGAGTTAATGTGTTGAATTAGGAACAGGGAAACAAAACTTCTAGTTCTGCTTTAGACATCAGTGCCATTTGGGCAATTTGGCAACATTGACTCTGTCCGAGCCCTAGGAATAAGGCAGTGATAAACACTTCTAAAAATGGTACCAAGAAAACTGCATCAACCTGTCTACTTAGTCACCAAGAGAAAAGACTGACTTGAAAGCACAAAATAAATTAAATATTAAAATGCAAGCAATTAGATTAGGAAAGTAGAGTTAGATATATTGTATCTAGTATATTACGTCCAAGAGGGGGCAGAGAAAAGATGAATTTGCAGATTGAAAGGGTGGACAATTTTGTGGATTCTGATAATGTGAGTAATGGTATCTATTTTTGCTACGCATGCAGCCAAGGCAAAGGACTTCCGTTATAACTTGTCAGAAGTACTTCAAGGTAGGATTATAAAGGAATGTGTATATTATGTGTTGTACTTGATGGGGTTGATTTATAAAATTTTATTTTTAAAAAATATAGCTATTTTTCTTTCTCCCTAGCCAAGATGCTTTTATTTCCAGATAACTTTTGAAGCTGTGGTTAAATTAACTTTAGTAAGAAAATGTACTGTTACTCTTTGTTTTTGACTTCTGAAGAGGATAGGGCTGATTTTCATTGATTTACATTTCCTTTTTTTCCTTCTTTTACATTGTTTTTGAATGTGCAGTGTTTTGCTTCTTTCCCTTAGCTTGTGGAATTGATTCAGAAAAGAGGAAATAAGTAGAAGGAAGAAGCAGATCACCTGAATAGTGTTTTGCTGTTGATATTTACTTCTGTAGATAAGATTGTTTAATATTTTAATGCCATTGGCAAACTTCTGTGAATAACTTAACCAGGATATTGGCTTTTGTTTTCTTTTTCCTAATAAAGTTTGGGGACATTTGGTTAGATTGTCACTACTTGCCTAAATAATGCAGAAATAGTTTGCCAATTGTCTTGGTTTTAATCGGGCAGGGGACTAGGAATTTGTGAAACGAAACGAAACTGTGTTTTGTTTTCCTGTATCAAACTTTACATTTGTTTATTGTTGTGAAATGGCCATAGGGAAAATTATAACCTCCAATATCAAGGCTATGAAAATCAAAGTAGGAGTTTTTGACAGAATCTGTGAAACAGTTTCCCTGGTTCTTTAGATTTTAATAATTTATTGGTATTATATGGAAATGATTATATGGAAAGAAAATATTTAGAAAAGTGCTATTCTGCTTTATTTTAAAACAATGTAAGTTTTAAAAGGGGTACTTTGTAGAAAGTATTTGCCCTAATTATTTATACAGTCTTAAAGCAATACAGTTTTCAAAATGCTATGAAGGCTATCCCTGGTTCTTTTTTAAATCTTGTCATGCACAGGCACTTTGCTTTACTGATGGTTCCCACAAGGGACAACTGTTGAAACAGCTGTGCAAGCCTTCCACTGGTCATTTTAATACATTTAAGAGGAATACTTTGCTCATTCTAACACTTTTGTAAAGGTATCTATTTCAGATGATTTGCACTTCTAAACTGTATAGCAAATTATATTTTAGAGGGATTTCCTGCTTTCCTTTCTCTTTTGTACCTTTTTTGAGGTGCTTTGGTCTTTAAAGGCCAGAAGATAACTCAAACCTCTCAAATCATTGCTAGACTATTTGAAATGGTTATGAATTGCCTCTTGGCAACTTTTTAGCAAATCTGAACAGTTTTTTTCCCTTTCAGTAAACAGTATTAAGTAAAATATTGGATACCTGCAGCTATTCCAGATGCAGTATTTCACAAATTTTCTTGGAAGCAAGTATATCTCTCTACATTGCTTCTATCTACCTGAATGCAAAGTTTCTGAAATCAGAATCTGCCTATTTAGGGAATAGATATGTAAATATATTAGCACACAATCATACATACATAGTACACAATATATTATTAGTAATTTGTTCAGAAAAGTAATATTCCTGTTGAAGTGAAAAGTTTCCATTGATGTGAAAAGAATAGGATCAAAGTTATATCATTTATTTTGTATAAATGTATCTATCAAATACAAATTTGTTTCTTTAATGTTGGCAGATACTCTGATGTCATTTTAGTATTATGAACGGATTTTGGATTCAAATACTAATATACTTTATTTTAAGAAGAAACAACGTATTCAATATATATATATATTCAAAATAGCTTGTATTTGCATTTAAGATTCTAGTAACAAATATTCAACAGTACTTCTTTTTTTCTTCTTTACTGATTTTTTTCACCATTCAGAGATTCTGAAACAGATTCATTTCTCTCCCTTTAGGAAAACTTGGGATCTATGATGCTGATGGTGATGGAGATTTTGATATGGAAGATGCCAAGGTTTTGCTAGGCAAGTAGATATTTTTAAAATGCCATTCAAAAATGTGACATTCAAATAGAAAGTGTAATGCATTGTAAAGTTATCCAGAATCTTAACAGTGTTAGTAAAGTTCTGTGATACCAACAATGTATTGCTATAGAAGAATAATTTGTCTTTGAATTTATATTTTCATCCATAGAACTAAAATATATTTTTGTGGAGGTTGCTTATTTTATATGCATTTATTTTGTTTTTTTTTAAAAAATAAGTTGGACTGTGAAAACAATGATAGTGCTTGGCCTTAGGCCGATTTCTCCCTCTCAATCCCTTAATTCATTAAGTAGCCTTCAAGTTCTGAAGACTTTCAGTAGGGTAAAGGAAACAAAAAAAGATGCCGTCAATTCTTCAGCAACCACATTTATTATCACTTATTCTTCTTAGCGGCGTGGTGGCCTAGTGGTGAAGACGCTTGCCTCCCATTCAGAAGGTTGAGAGTTCAATCCTAGATAGCAGCAGATATTTCTTTCTTAGGGTGCAAAGAAAAAATATCTGCATTTACTGGCCAGATGCCCTTCCGCCTAGGCATCAGGATGGCTCTCCAGCCAGTAAATGCTCAGCTCCAATCAGTCACCCCAACTCTTATGAGCCGAGGTGGCGCAGTGTTAGGGTGCAGTACTGCAGCTACTTCAGCTGACTGCTAGTTCAGTAGATCAGCAGATCAAATCTCACTGGCTCAAGGTTGACTCAGCCTTCCATCCTTCCGAGGTGGGTAAAATGAGGACCCAGATTGTTGGGGATAATATGCTATTTAGTATACTGTCTTTGGTGTAAGCCGCCCAGAGTCCTCGGAGAGTGGGCAGCATAGAAATATGAATAATAAAATAATAAAATAAAATTATCACAAATTAAGGGATTATAGAGTTATAAAAAGAAAAAAAATCACCCTGGCATGTAAGGGTTACTGAATGATGATCTTTCATTGCTCCTGGTCACAATGACGTATATTCAAGATAAAGGGCCCTTCAAACTTTGAAATTGACATTAGTATTGACCAAGAATTAGATCATACTTAAGATAGATCTGTTAAAATGAGCTGCTTAATTACCTACTTAATTTACCTGTTCCGTTGATTACAGAAGTCTTCTCAGAACATAACCATATTTGATCCAAGCTTTTGTCCTGCCTTTCTGAAAATATATATCTAATAGCCTTATAATCTGAACCACTATTATGAAGTACTAAAGTATTAAGAACTATAGAAGAAAAGGCAAAGCATGTGCAGTGAATATATACTTTGGTCTAATTTTGTTCTCCTGAGAAAAATCTTACCTATGTGGTTGTTAAGCATCAGCACCAACTTGACAGGCATGATTATTACCAGTCTATTTTTGTCATATATAGTGGCATGTTCAGTACTTCTCATAATCTGATTTACTTCTGCAATCTATGGGAAAGGGGGACATAAAAATTATTTGCTATCATGGTTTAAGTCCTTTTGTTTTCCACTAACAGTAAAAAAAAAACAATAGAAAATAATTTAGTCAGGTAGTTAATTATATGAGCAATTTAACTAGTGCAAAATGTTTCAGAATTGGAAAGTATCATGCTCAAAACACCCTATTCCAAATAACTGTTTTAACATTATCAATGCTGTTTTTATGTTATAATCATTCTAGAAATATTCAGAATTCAAAATATTTCTAAAAGAATGAATAAAATTGGATCAACCTTTTGGATTCAGAATGTTTTGCATATCCTATTGAAGAGGCATAATATCTAAAATGAAGTGTTTTTCTGCAAGCAATTTCAATCCTCACAATAGTTTCCTAACTTTGATGGTGGTGGGGAGGGGGCATAGTTGTCAGTACTAACTTAGTATAGATATCAGTAAATTGTTCCTCATTTAAACTTGAGTAAAGTAGGGGACTGAAATAGAAATATTCTAGCTGTGCTCAGTAGGAGCAAACATCAAACAGCAAGCACCCAGAGTACCTATGACATCAAAGGTTTATGTTTATTTATCTTGGCATATTTTTGCAAAATCAGACATACTATTATGCGATATCACTTGTTAATATCCAGCACTTGAAAATGATGTGAAGGATTATTCACTATATGTTATGCTCATGTTTTGTTTGACAACTATATGCTACTCTTAGGCTAAGATACATAGCATCCCCATTTGATCAGAGCCCATTGGGATCTAAATTGTAGATTGTTCTATTTCCTCCTGAGCTCTAACGCATACATTGTGAACAAAAGTTTATAGTTAAGGCAGTTGAGCTAAGAACCCATTATGTTGAACAGAATTGGGGTATCCTGTAAAGATGATGTATTTTTCTGAATACTAAGTATTTGTATTTATCACATATGTATTTTATTACTGTGTTTTCTTTTATCTGTTTTACCCACGAATTAGATCCTGTATTTTATTTTTATTTTATTTTTATTTGTTGATATGGTTCAAATTAATAAACAAATTAAACAATTAATAAACTGTTTTATAATTATATGTTAGATGAAGTTACTTGCCTGTATTTTGAAGTTCAAAGGACTTCAAATCTGAGTTTCCTCATTTATGAATAATACAATGAGACATTGTAATCTCTTAAATTTTGAAAAGCTAACCCCATAATATTACTATACAATTCTTCTGTATTATTCACTCAAAACATAAAGTCAGCTAACTATGGAAATAACCAGGAAAAAAATGTCTGCTTTGTAGGCACTTTATGTTTAATATCATGCAAACATGTCCCATTGGGACAACCATAAACTGGATTATTGAGAATCGTTATAGACATCATGCAGACATGTATTCCATTCCCAGATATTGTTCTAACAGTTTTCATTATTCACCCTTTACCTTTGCCCAAATCAGTGAATTAGCTATAAGGACAACACATGGAGCTCATAGCACCAGTTGTTAGAAATCTTAATTGTTCCTGAGAGCAAGGTTTCAGTTTTTCTCCTAGGCAATTAAATTTCAGATATGACCAATAAGGTTATTAAATTTTAACATTAGCTATGACTTACAGAAATCCTCTGATGCTTTCCTTATACTATTAATTGCTTCAGACTTTATATGTTTTATCTTATTGTTGTTTTATGTTGTTGCTTTATATTTTATGTGTTTTATGTCTTCTAAATATTGATCATGGATTGTAAATAAATGAATATATTTCACCTGCAGCTTGACAGAGTTGGGATAATTCTATTCCTTTTCCTTAAATAGCAAAGTAATATATAAGCTTTACAAGAAGTGCACCATTCCAATTACTGTAAATTGCTTATAATCCTCAATGTATAGTTATAATGGAGCCTGCCTATTACAGTCATAGGCCATGATGATCATAAAGCAGATCATCACATGATTGATCTGATTTCACAACCTTTTTATCATGACAGTTGTTAAGTGAAACACTATAATTGTTAAGAGACTCCATTGTTCACTATGGGGCATTTTGCCAAAAATCAGAAGTAAATATGGATGGATGGATGGGAGGAAGCAAGCAAGCATTTCTGGCTCTCTCAGCCAGCTTCCTACACAAGCAAAGTCAGTGAAGAAACTAGCAGGAAGTTGGGTGTTGATCTTGCTCCCACTGCTTTTTTGCTTGCTCCTGCTCCTTTTTTTTCTGTTTATGTAAAGAAATCTCTGAAATGGCCCAATGGGTCACGGGTTGTCATGAAAAACATGACTAAATGAACAAAAAGATTAGTGGCCCAACTTTGGGACAGTCTGTGTGAAATGGATTATACTAATGTTTCTCAAACACTTTCCTTCATTATTCAAACCGCTTACCAGAAATTCATTTTTACCCAATGTAGGTAAAACATTGCTAGAACAACAGATAGATAAAAGGATAGCTTTTTGGTAGCAGATGTGCCAGTTGCAGTCCTACCTAATGCAGAGGAGCTGGCTATAGTAATCTGTGCTCTTATTAATATGCATTTTATCTAGGCCCACCCTCATAGTTTATTCTAAAATTGCAAGTGTCTAGAATGTGGCAGCTTGCCTACTGGATGGCTCCTGCAGTGGAGCATATTAATATCATCCCCCATCCTCCTGCCAGTCCACAAAGCTGAAAATGGTGGGGAAATCTGCCCTACTAGTACTGATGTTACCTAGTTTGGATAATGAAATGTCTGCAGGAAAACAAGCTCAGAGAGCACTAAGGATCCGTCAAATAGGAGAAATTTTGAAAAGTTGAGAGAAAAATGATGTGGCATTGGGGGGCACAACTGACATCTCTGTATCAGTCTTCATTGGGAAAGAAGTTGCTAGAAATCTAAGAACAGATAAAAATTGTAGATGATATACTATTTTAGAGCTATAAAAATATTAACAAATGATTAGTGCCTGATTATATATCCAAAGCCAAAAACTGAAATATTAAATTGCTGAGTTCCTAGGAAAAACAGAATATTAAATTAGCACACTAAATAAATACCATATTTTTTGGAGTATAAGATGCACCGGAGTATAAGACACACCTTAGTTTTGGGGGAGGAAAATAAGAAAAATGCTGATTGGTGGGTGGATTGGCCTCCCAGAATACCCCCAATCAGCTGTTTCCAGAGGTGAATTTTAGCAACAGGTTCATTAATTGTGAGCTCTGTGCCTTGCTTTTTTTTCTGCCTCTGAAACTTCTGAAACTGTTTCAGAAAAAAAAAATCTGCCTCTGAAAGCCTCGGAAACAGAGCTTTAGAAAGAAAAAGGCTTTTTTTCTGAAGCTTCTTTCAGAGGCTTTTATTCTCAAGGACTATCTGTATTCTGTTCAATCTCGTTTTTTTGGTATTGATATGTAGATTAACCTCTTCTGTAGATTGGTATGTAGATTGATATGTAGATTAACCTCTCCTGATCTGTTGGTTATTGTGTCATTCTCCAGATTTATTAACATAGTTTGGTTAGAAACTTTACTGATCCTTCTTTTGTTGCTTACCATATTATTTTAGATAAAACTTTTCAGAGGCTTTTTTTCTGAAGCTTCTTTTAGAGGCTTCTTTCAGCTTCTGAAATCTCCGTT